AAAAAAAAAAAAAAAGGACTTTTGTGTGCGTTTATAGCTGTATGTGCGTGTAGGCTGGATAGTTAATAATTATAGTACATATTTTTATTTTTATTTTTTTAAAGCATGAGTGAAGAGGAGCGTTTATTCGAGACGATACAAAAAGAAAGAGAAAAAAAGGAGGTGATATGAGCATCCTGGTTTATTTATTTATTTATTTTAATCCTCCAACAGAGGGTCCCCAATTGTATCACATACAGTTAAAAAAGAAGAGAGTTCACAACGAAAAATTTCAGCAAGCTAAGGCGAGTAAACGTAACTGAGAGGGGCTAGTATCGGAGAGGGTGAAAGAATAACGGAGAGTCTGAGGGAGAAAGAATAACGGAGAGGTGTTGGGACGTGTCTTCTTCTTGTTCCTTTTTTTTTTCCCAAAAAAAACAAGGCCCTTGATTATCAGAGTCCAGTGCCAAAGGCAGAATACATAACCAAGGTTCCAAGCAGGGGACGGCCAGGGGCCTGGTGCCATCAGCAAATACAGGATTGGGTTTAATTCCAGAATCTGGACGTGTTCTTGGAGAGATGCAGAGAGTTGCGATTCGTCTGCTTTTCTGCATCTGTGCTCAAACCACATCCAGATTCAGAAATTAAACCCAGTCCTCTTTGCTAATGGGACCACTGCAGGCCCCAGGTGATCCTGCCCTACCGAGCACGCGGAGCCTCTTCCCCCTCCTCCACAAGGTCTACATTCATCACAGATCTAACGACCGTGCCCTTGCCTGACAACAGAGCAACCAGCAATTTCTCATTTCCCGCCTCCCCCTCCTTTCTGCTTCCCCCTTCCCCCCCCCCCCCCCCGCCGAAATCGACCCCTTTATTTATCAGGGCCCAGTGCCCAAGGCAAGTTACATCAACATCCTCCAGAAAAAAAAAAAAAGGGACAGCCGGCGAATGGTTGTCCTGCCCTTCCGACAGATCGGAGCCCCGTCCCTACTCTCACACAGTCTCCATAACCATTCGTGGGGTACCTTCTTTCCCCGAACACAACGCACGGGTCCCGCGAATGGCCGATGCTAGAGGGATGCTGGATGGGGCCAGAGCAAGGGGGAGCAACCCTGTAACCTAGCTTGCTTGTTGGGGGTGTGAGGCCT